ATATGGAAATTTTACTTCAAGAGGTAAATATTTTAATAGAAAAAGATGCAAAAGAACAGGTTCAGAGAGAACAAAATCAATCAGGTTTTTACAGCACATTTTTTCTGGTCCCCCCAAAAAATGGGAAGATGAGACCAGTCATAAATCTGAGACCTCTCAACGGGTATCTTCAGAAAAAACATTTCAAGATGGATTCACTGACCAAAGTCTTGAATATAGTAAAACCAGGAGATTGGGCTATAACGCTCGATCTAAGCGATGCATATCTACATGTCCCAATATTTCCAAGTCATTGCCAATATCTAAGATTTTACCTTCAAAATCAAGCATATTAATTCAAAGCTCTGTGCTTCGGTCCAAGATCTGCCCCACGAGTCTTTACAAAAATAGTGTCCGTTGTGGCAGCCTACTTGAGAACGAAAAATATAAGATTAGTAGTATATCTGGACGATTGGTTAATTATAAATCAACAAAAAGCACATCTATGCCTAGATCGAGTAATGCAACTTTAAATCAGGTAGCAGATTTTTTAGCCTATCTGTTTGAAAATGGATTGCAATATAGGACTATTGCAGGCTACAGGTCTATGCTTTCCAATGTTTTACCTCAAGTTGATAATACTGCAGTAGGTCAACATCCATATATTACAAGACTTATAAAAGGGTTTTTTAATTCTAGACCGCCTACCACAAAATTATTACCGGAATGGGATTTACAGTTGGTTTTAACCTTATTGCAGAAAGAACCTTTTGAACCTATTGAAAATATTGATTTGAAACATTTGACATTTAAAACTGTTTTTCTTATCTCTATTACTACTTTCAGGAGATCTAGCGATTTGCAGTCTCTCAGAGTGAACCATTCCTTAATGAGGATACAACAAAAAGGCATTACATTTATTAGAAGTGGTTTGGCAAAGCAGGATCGACAAAATCATAGAAATTCAAAAATTGTTGTTCCTGCATTCACAAGCAATTAAAAGTTAGATCCTGTTACATGTCTGTTACAATATTTAGAAAGAACAAAGGAATTTAGAAGTAGTTTAGATAAAGACCAACAGGGAAAACTATTCCTTTCAACATGTGAACCGCATAAGCCTGTAACGTCACAAACTATTTCTAAATGGATCGTTCAAGTGATTAAATTAGCGTATCCTGATTCTTCATTGAAAAATATCAAGGCACATTAAACTAGAGCAGTTGGACCCTCTTGGGCTTTATACAAAGGTGTATCTATAAATTCTATTTTAGAAGCAGCTGATTGTTCAGAGTCCACATTTGGAAAATTCTATCTGAGAGATTTGTCAGTCAATGTATTAGACAATTTGTAAATATGTTAAATTTTTCGGCGAGTTGCGTTGGAGAATTTGTTATTGGTGGAAGTATTTTAAATATGATGATTTCATGATGAACATTATTTTGTGTTGAACTATTGATGTGTTATATATAGACATTTGTACACAAGGTGCAATTTAGATGACAGAAATTTATACAGCATACGCCTCCAGTTCAGTAGAAGGACTGCTTTGGAATCTATCCAAAAGTATGTTTCTGACTGGTAAGTATAAATAATTGAAATAAAATTCAAAAATTTGTAATCAAGTTAAAATTTTATGAAATATTTATACTTACCAGTCAATATTCCCACCGCCGCCCCATGCTTTAATTTCAGTGCGGGTGTTTTGTACACGCCAATAAACTGAAGCATGAACCACACGGATGATCTGGGTTAGTTAATGTTTGAATCAAGATCATCTGTGTGTTTGCGAGTTATGAATGTAGTAAAGAAAGATAATCCAAAAGTATGTTTCTGACTGGTAAGTATAAATATTTCATAAAATTTTAACTTGATTACAAATTTTTGAATTTGAATTACAGTTGGTCTATAAATCATAGAAACTGAGAAAAACAAAGAAAAATAAATGCCTCGCCGAGCGCAGCCTGATACGAACCCTGAACAGTTGGGCCGTTTGGACACAATATTCAAGCTTGATACTGTCTGAATTTGGATTGAAATCAAATTTTTGACATAATATGAATGTAGTCAAAATTCTTAAAATTTGAAATTGGACATTTAATTTACCTAGAATGGTCTGATATCCAAAATCTAACAACATGGTTAGATTCAGCATATGAAAAACACCAATAATTTAATTTTAGTTGAAATCAAACAAAGTTTAATTTTTATCCTTTCAAACCTTAATATGAACTAATTTGAAAACAGGGCCCAAAATAAAAATCTAAATGCACAATAATATTCAGCAAATCATACAGCCGCAATAATTCAGTTTTTGATGAAATCAAACAAAGTTTAATTTTGGACCCTTTTGACCTCAATGTAGACCAATTTAAAAATGGGGCCCAATATCCAAAAATATTATACAAGGTTAGAACCCCCAAAAATTCAAGACTTAATTAATCCCATTGAAATTGGTTAAAACATTTGTAATTGTTTCAATTGAAGATTTCTTGCTATTGCTTAATACTGTGCAATTGAAGATTTCTTGCTGTTATGCAATACTGTGCTATTGTGCAATACTGTGCTATTGCGCAATACTGTGCAATTGAAGATTCCTTGTTATTACGCAATACTGTAACGTTACGCACGATATTGCGTCTCAAATGGTAACGTCATTTTTTTTACGTTTTACGGCGATTAATGATTATCATGATTATATTGGGGATATTTTTTTTATTTCGCTTGCAATTTCTGTTTTGCACATCAATATTGATACTTCTTAATGTTTGGTTGTACTGAATATGCATGAAATATTTCCCACTGAAAGTAACGTAAGCAACAAACAACAAAATATATCGTATTTGGGTAATGCATAAGTCTATATGAAAAAGAAGATATATATGGTATGATGAGTGCCAATGAGACAACTCTCTACCAGAGACCAATTGACATAAAAGGTTATAAAATGCAATGTTTCCCCATATTGATCCGAAAAGGAAGAAGATATATATTTTGATTTAATTAAAAAAAATTTGTCGGGAATTACAAGTTAAACGGGTTTTGCTTATAAAATTCACTGTACTTTCTTTAATAACGGAACAATTAGATTAAGAGATGAAACGATTGTCAGAAAAAAGGTTAATTATATTCATCTCATATGTTTACAAGCCTTGTATGATATGGAGAGGTATATAGCCACGCTTCAGGTCCAATTTTATTTTTACTTTCAAGTTCTATACATATGAATCTTATTGCAGAGAAATAAAAAAAAATCGCAGTTTTACGCTCCCCAAATTTGAAAATTTGAAAAAGATTATTTTTTATCCTCTCGTAATACACAATTTATTCACAACTAAAGAACCTCATCTAAACGAACAACCCCAGGCATCGGATTGTTTTAAATACTTTGTGGTCTTTTTGATAGTATCTGACTATCAAAAAAATTCTATCTGAAGAAATATATACAGATGATCCACCATAAATAGCGTCCCGAATTTACAACGTTCAAAACGTATGAAAATCGTCCAAGTGGACAAACTTGCAAGACATTTCATTTCTTTGAAAACGAAGTCGTTTTGACTACGCAGATTATCAAAAAGTATGTAGCTGTTTCGTAGAGTTAAAGTACAATTACGGAAAATTAATATTTAGCATGCAACAAATCTCAATTTTCAATAATAACGTCGCAAATGACAGTTTATTTGTAAAAAGCGGCGAAATCCGACATTGGACATATTGCAAGACATTTGCCAGAAGCCGTTGCCTTTTTATATGTGGTGTGAGTGCTGCAAAAATTCGATTTTGAAATGGTCTATATATGTACTTTTGTGAGCATAATTTACACAAACGAAATTTCATATAATCTTACATTTTGAAACCTATAAATTTTGATAACTTAAGATTTTCCTTAATCTGACCATAATGGACACTTTTAGTTTTTGCCAAAAAATAACGTTGGTTGTTACAGGAACGCATATTCAGTAATATTGTTATACTTTATATATAAAGCATATCATTCATTCGAATTTTCGCGGATATAACACTGTTTTGAAGAACACAAACACCCCTGCTAAAGTTATTATGCGTATAGTCTGTTACGTCTGACACGCATATTTTGGACGTTTTGTCAAAATGTTGTCCTTATTTTAGACTATTGTAAAATATGATAAAACAGTTTGTAGTTTTTTTTTCGGAATAGTTTTTACTAGTCTAGTCTATGGATAAAAAATTTATATAACTTCACTGTTATGATTTTATAGAAAAGCTGTTTATTAGTGTGGACTGGTTGATTACACGGTATTGACGCAATAACGTGCGTAACGTCTGTGCAATTGAAGATTTCAAAAATTTTGAAGAAAAAAAATGAGCTCCCACAAAAAAATTGGAAAAAAAATCCACCCAACTTTTTGAACCGGTCCACCCCCCCTTTTGAAGTAATTACTCCCAAACCCATCCCAGCCTTCTCTTTATGGTATGGAACCTTGTAGTACAATTTTAGAGAGATCCATACACTTAAACACAAGTTATTGTCTGGAAACTAGAAAAATGCTTGTTTTTTGCCCCTAAATCCTGAACATTTGGGGCAATTAACCCAAAACTCAATCCCAGCCTTCCCTTTGCGATATGGAACCTTGTGGTACAATTTCAGAAAGATCCATACACTTACTAAAAATTTATTGTCCGGAAACTACAAAAATGCTTGTTTTTGGCCCCTAATTCCTAAACTGTTGGTACCATCACCCCCAAAATCAATCCCAACCTTCCTTTTGTGGTATTGAACCTTCTGGTAAAAATTCATAGAGATCCATTCACTTAAACTTTGGACGACGACAACATGATAGCATTATACGAATGCAAATTTTTTGAGGTCGTATAAAAAAAATAATGTCCAATGAAACGCAGAGATAGGGTCAGGTGACCCCCTGATGGAAGGACAAAAATCAGGACATTTATCTTGATCACATGTTTGGTATCAGCAGTGGATTCATGCAGCAATATTGTTGAGCAGTCAGATTGCTTAAAGAATATGCATAACATTTGAATTGATATGTAAATTATTTATTTATTATTCATGAAAGACATGTGTATAAATTGTATAAATCCAAATATGGATTCAAAAATCAATGATTTTAAAACTAAGAAAAGGGAAAGACATTGTCAGTCACATATTTGTTGTAAGGGAGATAAATTAAAAAAATTCGAATGAAAGCCATAAAAAATATTTTGTATCTCAAACCAGTTAAATTGTAGATGAGGTAGGCAATTTTGTGCAAGAGAAAGTTTGCCGGAAATATGGTACCTATATTCATCAAAGATAATATAATTTTTTACTGAGGAACTTTAGAAAACCTACCTCATCATTTCAATTTTGTAGTTTGGTTTTGTCTGATGATAAAATGATGAAATAATTGCACAGTTGATTGTACACTTCTATTTTGATTTGATAAAACACTGAAAGCCCTACATTTTGAAGGATTGGAAGACTCTTGACATCAGTTTTACATGTTATAAAGTCTGTCATATAATGCTGCCTTGACTGTTTTAACACTGGATCCAATTGTAAGCTAAAACAAAGAGAAAAGAACCATTAGAATTAACATCTACACAGCAAATCCTAAAATACTGAAATATCTTCATGTTATTTATAAAAAGAACCATAAACGACTTTACTTTTGGATTCATTTTTATATGCCCGTTTACGGGACATATTATGGTATACCGTTGTCTGTCTGTCCGTCCATCGTCAATATGTAGGACAATAACTCAAAAACTCTTTAACCAATTTGCATGAAACTTTGGTGAATTGTTTTTATCTATTGACGTGAGCTCCCTTTCGATTATTTTAAATTTTAGATTTTAGGTTTCTGAATTATGGGGGTTTTATTCATTAAAAAAGGGGATTTTCCAGTTTTTTTAGCAGTTTTCATGAAACTTTGGTGACTGGTTTATATCTATTAAAATAACCTCCCTTTAGTTTTTATAAATTTCTGATATGACATTGAGGAGTTATGGAACTTTATTCTTTGAAAAAGCGACGGGCGTATCATGTGCTCATGGCACAGATCTTTATTATTTGTGGCGTACCATTTTTTTTAGGTACAGGTAAACCATGAGTTTTAATGTGCAAAGAAATATAATTTTCTAGGCTTGTATACATACTTTGGAGAATCCAAGAAAACAAATATCCACACAAATATAATTTTCTAGGCTTGTATACATACTTTGGAGAATCCAGGAAAACAAATATCCACACGAATATAATTTTCTAGGCTTGTATACATGTACATACTTTGGAGAATCCAGGAAAACAAATATCCACACAAATATAATTTTCTAGGCTTGTATACATACTTTGGAGAATCCAGGAAAACAAATATCCACACAAATATAATTTTCTAGGCTTGTATACATACTTTGGAGTATCCAGGAAAACAAATATCCACACAAATATAATTTTCTAGGCTTGTATACATACTTTGGAGAATCTAGGAAAACAAATATCCACACAAATATAATTTTCCCCAATACACACTGTATACGTCTTATGTTTATTTTTGTTGTTGGATTGCCCATTGACTAATACCTCACATCTCATTTTATTTAAGACTAGTGACAACAATTTTTATACTCTAATGCAATTTGGTATGTATCTACAATTTTGATTGGATGACGTCTGCCATCATTTCCACGATTGACGGTCGGAGCTATTGGCAACATCATTGCAATCGCAGTCGACGTTTAGGGGATATTTAAAATGTTTTAATTTTGAACATTATAAGAGTAAGACATTTTTGGATTTGACTGTCACAAATATCCCTTTACTGGTTATACTCCGTCACACGACCTTAAAATCCCCAGTTGAGGGGGGCCACTCTTCAAATACAGTACTGTTTTTCCTTTTTTAACTAGAACTATTAAACTAGATGTACCTGTAGTATAAACTCATGTAGCAAAACTAACCCTTCATAAAAGATTGGTAACTAAAGATAAACAAGCATTCTGAGAGTACTGCATTGCAATACATAGTCCCCTACCGGTTAAAAATTCATAGTCTGGAACAAAACGCTAACTTGATCTACAACTTATCATGGTGTTAACTATATAACAAGTGTTAAGTCAATATCTTCAAGCATGACGAAAAAAGTGTGGAAAACTGTTCATTTGGGTGAATTTTCTAAATCCAAGGACCATAACTCTGCACAAAATCATCAGACCGGAACAAAATTCGAATTTGATCTGTCACTTGTCATAATAAAACTATATACCAATTATCAAATCAATATCTTCAAGCATGATACAATAAAATGCTCTGCTGGGTGCAGCTTGATATGACCACAGAGGTCGAACCCTGAACAGTTGGGGCAAGTATGGACACAACATTCAAGCTTGATACAGCTCTGAATTTGGATTGTGATTAAATATTTGACACAGCATAGGTTTCTGACACAGAATGAATGTGGTCTAAGAACTTAAAAATTTTTAGTTTACCTATTATTGTCCAATATCCATAATCTAAATACATACACTGTTAGATTCAGCATATCAAAGAACCCCAAGAATTCAATTTTTGTTAAAATCAAACTAAGTTTAATTTTGGACCCTTTGGACCTTAATGTAGACCAATTTGAAAACAGGACCAAAAATTAAGAATCTAAATACACGGTTAGATTCAGCATATCAAAGAACCCCAATGAAATCAAACCATATCATTATTATTTGCTTTTATATATAAATCAAAAATAACCAACTTAAAATGAAAAATTTTAAAGAAAAAAAAAATCCCCCCTCCCCAATTTTTTGAACACCCTTATGATTCATCACCCCAAACTCAATCCAAGCCTTCCCTTTGTGGTATGGTACCTTGCAGTACAATTTCAGAGAGATCCATACACTTGAACACAAGTTATTGTCTGGAAACTGTAATAAAATGCTTCGCTGGGGCGCAGCTTGATACGACCGCAGAGGTCGAACCCTGAACAGTTGGGGCAAGTATGGACACAACATTCAAGCTTGATACAGCTCTGAATTTGGATTGTTATTAAATATTTGACACAGCATAGGTTTCTGACACAGAAAGAATGTGGTCTAAGAACTTGAATTCAGCATATCAAAGAACACCATATATTCAATTTTTGTTAAAATCAAACAAAGTTTAATTTTGGACCCCAACTTGGACAAACTTGAAAACTGGGCCCATAATCAAAAATCTAAACACATGTTTAGATTCAGCATATCAAAGAACCCCAAGAATTCAATTTTTGCTAAAATCAAACTAAGTTTAATTTTGGACCCTTTGGACCTTAATGTAGACCAATTTAAAAAACGGGACTTAAAATTAAAAATCTAAATACACGGTTAGATTTGGAATATCAAAGAACCCCAATAATTCAATTTTTGATGAAATCAAACAAAGTTTAATTTTGGACCCTTTTGACCTCAATATGAACCAATTTGATAGCGGGGCCCACAAATAAAAACTCTAAATTCATGGTTAGATTCAGCATATCAAAGAACCCCATATATTCAATTTTTGTTGAAATCAAAAAAAGTTTAATTTTGGACCCCAACTTGGACCAACTTGAAAACTGGGCCCATAATCAAAAATCTAAATACATGTTTAGATTCAGCATATCAAAGAACCCCAAGAATTCAATTTTTATTAAAATCAAACTAAGTTTAATTTTGGACCCTTTGGACCTCAATGAAGACCAATTTAAAAAACGGGACCCAAATTAAAAATCTAAAACACGGTTAGATTTGGCATATCAAAGAACCCCAATAATTCAATTTTCGATGAAATCAAACAAAGTTTAATTTTGGACCCTTTTGACCTCAATATGAACCAATTTGATAGCGGGGCCTACAAATAAAAAATCTAAATACATGGTTAGATTCAGCATATCAAAGAACATCATATATTCAATTTTTGTTGAAATCATACAAAGTTTAATTTTGGACCCCAATTTGGACCAACTTGAAAACTGGGCCCATAATCAAAAATCTAAATACATGTTTAGATTCAGCATATCAAAGAACCCCATATATTCAATTTTTGTTGAAATCAAACAAAGTTTAAATACTGGACCCTATCTTGGACCAACTTGAAAACTGGGCCCATAATCAAAAATCTAAACACATGTTTAGATTCAGCAAATCAAAGAACCCCAAGAATTCAATTTTTGTTAAAATCAAACTAAGTTTAATTTTGGACCCTTTGGACCTCAATGTAGACCAATTTAAAAAACAGGACCCAAAATTAAGAACCTAAATACACGGTTAGATTTGGAATATCAAAGAACCCCAATAATTCAATTTTAGATGAAATCAAACAAAGTTTAATTTTGGACCCTTTTGACCTCAATATGAACCAATTAGATAACGGGGTCCACAAATAAAAAATCTAAATACATGGTTAGATTCAGCATATCAAAGAACCCCATATATTCAATTTTTGTTGAAATCAAACAAAGTTTAATTTTGGACCCCAATTTGGACCAACTTGAAAACTGGGCCAAAAATCAAAAATCTAAATACATGTTTAGATTCAGCATATCAAAGAACCTCATATATTCAATTTTTGCTAAAATCAAACAAAGTTTAATTTTGGACCCTTTGGACATTAATGTAGACCAATTTGAAAACTGGACCCAAAATTAAAAATCTAAATACACTGTTAGATTCGGCATAACAAATAAATAAATGTGATCAAAGATTTTACAAATCTAATGCGCCATACTGTGCAATTAAAGATTACTTCTTGAAATTTTTCAATATTTGAAATTTGAAAAAAAAATAATATTTGAAGAATAATTCTTTTTAATTTCTGAAATCTGAAATGAGAAAAAATTGGCCCCCCCACAATTTCTTTTTATCCCCCCCCCTTTTTCCCCCAAAAAAATTCTTTCCCTCAAGATATGGTCATAATCTCAATTCAAATTTCCAATGGAGTTGGCAACCATAATTACCCATTTAAATTTACCATAGTGCTAACTTAATCTATTTTATAATAGAATTAATAAAAAAATATAGTGTCAAATCTTTCATATGGATTTTTTTGTAAAAAAAAAAGATGAAAAAATTTGCAGATATTTTTACTGGTCTTCCTTTATAAATATGCATTTCTTTAAACATAATTTAAAAGCAGAGTAAGGGAAGTAACTAAAACGTTGTATTTGGATTACCTCCCTTACACTGTTTTAGATTATCTTTATTGTTCATTAACCATTACTTTATACATAATTTAAAAGCAGTGTAAGGGAGATAATTTCAATGATGTATTTGATTTATCTCCCTTACACTGCTTTAAATTATGTTTTGTACTAAAGTATTTGTCCATTAACCAGGACAACCTTGTTTTTCCCCCTTTTTTGCCCCTAATTCCTAAACGGTTTTAGCCATAACCCCCCAAAGCAAATCCTAACCATCCCTTTGTGGTATGGAAACTTGTCGTATAATTTCAGAGAGATCCATACACCGTTCCACAGTTATTGTCTGGAAACTAGAAAATGCTCATTTTTGGCCCCTTTTTGGCCCCTAATTCCTTAACTGTTGGTACCATAACCCCCAAAATCAATCCCAACCTTCCTTTTGTGGTATTTAACCTTATGGTCAAATTTCAAAAAGATCCATTCACTTAAACTAAAGTTAGAGTGCGAAAACCAATATGTATTCGGACGACGACGCCGGACGACGACGACGACGACGACGACGACGACGCCAACGTCATACCAATATACGACCACAAAATTTTTTTGCGGTCGTATAAAAATGCCTGATTTTTGGCCCCTATTTGGCTCCAAATTCCTAAACTTTTAGGGCAATTACCCCCAAACTCTAACCCATCTTTCCCTTTGTGATATTGAACCTTGTAGTACAATTTCATAAAGATCCATACACTTACACACAAGTTATTGTCCTGAAACTAAAAAAATGCGTGTTTTTTGCCCCTTTTTGGCCCCTAATTCCTAAAATTTTGAGGCAATTACCCCCAAAATCAATCCCAGCTTTCCCTTTGTGGTATGGTACCTCGCAGTACAATTTCAGAGACCTCCATACACTTGAACACAAGTTATTGTCTGGAAACTAGAACAATGCTTATTTTTGGCCCCTTTTTCCTAAATGTTTTTGGCAATTACCCCCAAACTCAATTCCAGCTTTCCCTGTGTGATACGGAACCTTGTAGTACAATGTCAGAGAGATCCATACACTAACACACAAGTTATTGTCTGGAAGTTACAAACATGCTTATTTTGGCCCCCAATTCCTTAACTGTTGCCCCTTTTTGGCCCCTAATTCCTAAAATTTGGAGGCAAGTACCCCCTAAATCAATCCCAACCTTTCTTTTGTGGTATTGAACCTTATGGTAAAATTTCATAGAGATCCATTCACTTAAACTAAAGTTATTGTGCGAAAACTAATGTGTCTTCAGACAACTACGAAAGCGCCATCGTCATACCAATATACGACCGCAAAATTTTTTTTGCGGTCGTATAAAAAAGTGCGGAAAACTGATTATTTGAGTGAATTTTCTAAGTCTTAAGTTTACCATTTCTATAGAAAAAGATCTTTGAATTTTTGGATCAATCTGACCCTTTTTTGGCCTCTTGGAATTGTTCAATATTTTCAATATAGACCATAGTCACACCTTTCAGTACCTTCTTAAGAACATTTCTGCATGGCATTATCAAAGAAACATCACTAATAATTAAGGCCTTTCAAAGGAACATATCTGTCAAGATTGGTTTTAACTGGTTCACTAGTTCTTCAGAATATCTGTATAAGTAAACTGATGACAAATAGTTATTATTAATACTAACTTGTAACCACTACATTTTGTTCATCTTGTCTATGAGTAATTAAGTCCATAGCAATTAGTGTTAGTTACCAGTCACATGCCACTTTTTCCTACAATTGAACCTGAACTTTCAAGGTTAACTGGTACTTATTTTAACTTACCTATGAATGTGTACTGGTATCAGTTATTACTTGATGTAAACCTTTCGACACAATACATTCATTGACCTCCAGTAAAATTCTCTCTAGTCTTCTGTCTAAAGCTGCGTAATATTTGTCATGAAGAACAGGTTCAATAGAATCCTGACTTAAAAGAGTCTGCAATGTCTTGCTGAGCACTGTATTACGCAGCATAAGTAAGGTCTGCCATGTGGATTCTCGAATTCTTAAATAGATATAACAATTCTAATGTCTTATTAAAATTTAGTTAAAAATAGTTTTATTGTACCCAATTTAATGAGCACAATTAGATTCATTTAACATTTGCTGCATTATATAAGAATTATTTATACAAAATTAAGGTACTCTAGAACTGACACAAATTCTTACTACTAACAGATTTGTTTAACCTTCTTGGGTCAATAACAAATTTTTACACATAAATGTTTTCAATTTTAAAAAATTGGATTACAATGCAATCTTATTTTATAAAAGTTTGAAGAAAATGAGGATGCCCGTCTTTTATTTCTTGAAATAAATGAAAGCATAAAAATGTGTTGTAATATTCAAATTTAGTTTATGGAGTGATTAACTCTTTGTTTTGCATAACCACTTGGAATAAATCTGGTTGGACAAAAAGCCATTTGCAAGGATTATAAAAGACTGTTTAATTTATTTATATTGTTGGTCACAAGCTGAATACAGCTAAATTAAAGAAACATACTTGCAGCACTGGTACAGAGGTGCCAGTATTGTGTATTCATCATAGTCTGGATTTCCAAAACTTAAAAAAATAAATAATGGTTATATCAAAGATTGTTACTTTATAAGAATAAGTCATTTCCCCAGATAATTCAAATTGTACTGTACTTCATGCCAGCTGATTACTTTAGATTGTTTTAAAGGAATATGTATCATTGTGCTCAAGATCTCTTTTTCTCTTGTCTACATACATAAAAAAAAAGAAAAAACCACATAAAAAACAATTAACAGAGAAAGTTTTAACTAACAACATAAAAAGGCTGCACAGCAAATCATAAATTAATAAATTACTTCCAATTACAACTTAAGACTAACAGAATCAAACAAACAAATATCAAACATTTCTTCATTAATTAATAATTAATAATTAAGAAGCTAAGTAAACTGAAAAACATTGTCCATTACTTAATATACATTTCTGGTGCTATGAATAACAGAAACTCTAGCATAGCTATCCATTTTCTGTAAGAAAATTTATATTAATCTGTTTGAATTCTATTTTTGTTTATGTTTTTTTGTTTTGTTTACATCCTGCTTTCCAAACAAAATAAATATTACAAACACAACTACATTATAACAATTTGAAGGTACCTCTTGCCATTGTCCAAAATCAGCACCATACTATCACTTTTTGTCCCTAACGTTTCGTAATGGTGTCTGTCTGCATTGCCTATTAAATAGTCCACTATAGTAGCATCTATCAGGTCCATTAAAATTGGTCCAGAATCATAAGGTTGTCTCATTATCACATCTTTACAAAAATCCTTGTTACTCTCCCACCTAAAATTGTCAAAGTATATACATCCACACATTGCATGATTATATATACTTACTAATCTAATACTTCACAAATACTTTATACTGTTATTGATCATAACTGTATTTACCTTACAATATTTAAGCCACTGGTTGCTGCATTGGTTTAAATCGGGGCATGTACTGTGGAATCATTTATATCCATGGTATATACATTTTAGCCTTATTACTTGTACACTTTAATTTCTGTTCACATTCATTATCATCATTAAATGTAATTATCAACCAACTAAGTTAATGATTGCTGAAATGTCCAGTTTAAAGTCAAATAGAAACAGTGCCTATTGCAGCCAACAGGGCACTAATACAGGGCCATTACGGATAAAATAAGTCATTATAAAGTTAATTAGGGCCACTTTTGATAAACAAGTCATTATGAAATGAATTTAGCTGGGCATTTCAGCAATAACTTAAACGGATAATAAACATATTTGGTGATGGGTACCAGTGTTTTTATAATGTCCCTGTTATATGTCATCGGTCAGTATTAAAGGCTTCTGAGTGTGTTATGACCCTCTATGTTGCAACGTGCCATAACAAACATTATCAGACTATTATTACAGACCTTGGAATATATTATGAAAACCTCAATTAATTAATACTACTGTAAATTCAGAAATTATTTTGAGGTTTTTATTAATGCAAATAATGCGACTGGGTGAGTATTGCAATAATAAGAACTTGCATTCTGACATCTGATACATATATTTGTAAGCAGATCTTCCTGAAATCGCAATAATTAATCTCACATTTTTGTCTATTCTCCAAAAATGGCAATGATAAATGCACACAATAATTTTAGAATTTAAGTATAAGTATACGTATTACAGAAGTTACCTTTTAGTCACTCCAGCTTTATATGATCTTAGCCATGGACTAGGATATACTTTCAGGGGATATGTATTGGGCAGCCAAAGTATAATGACACCCTCTAAAATATCTCCCTCAGCACAGACTCCAGTAGATTCATCCTTACAATACAAACATTTACCATAAAAACACTGATTTCGACCTGAAAATTAAATGAATAATAAAACCTTTATTAAGCAAGCCCCTAATAATTAACATGGGATGTTTTTACAAGCCTGGAAAAAATTGTACCTATTAATATAATTAAAGTTATGATACACTTTGTTCAGTACAATGTACTAATACAAATAACAGCATGGTCATTCATTTTAGATTTTCTATTTTCATACTCATCTGAGAATTGATGAGTGGAAACAATCAAACACTTGAAGTGGATATGACAAGAAATGAAGGTGCTACCCCAGCGACAAGAATTAATATGGAATATTTTTACAAGTTTCCTACAAGGAAAAAATGGTTCCCTTATTTCATTTTTTAAAATTATTAAAATAATCCTAATTTTTTAATAAGTTAAAACCTTCATCCAAATATGAAGAGGGTCAGATGAAGGGGACAAGAAGTAATATGGGATGTTTTTACAAATTTCCATCCTAAAAAGTTGTCTCTTTTTCTGATTTTTCTGATTATCGAACTCATTCTAGATTTTGATGAACAGAAACCTTCATACAAATTTGCAGAGGATCTGATATGAAGGTGCTATCCTTGTGACAAGTTTAATATAGGATAGAACTACTACAGGGTGTATAACGACCTTGTCGACCCATGAGGGTCTCACACGGTCAGTCATACGGGATAGATTAACAAGTCCAATTCATATTATAGATTTTTCTGATTTATATAGAACTCGTCTGTGTTTTTGTTGAGTCAAAAACTTCAGGGTCTGTTATAGCTTGCTATGCACACTATTGGTTTTGCTCATTGTTTAATGCCATATTGTGACCTATAGTTACTAACTTCTACGTAATTTGGTCTTTGGTGGAAAGTTGTCTCATTGACAATCATACCATATCTTCTTATTTCTACAAAAGTAATTTTCATATTTTTTATCCTAATTTTTTATTTCATAAAACAAGGTGATGTTGATGCATCTTGTAAACATATGTCTATTGTTCAAGACTTATGTGTTGACTTGTTTTATTTTTTTGTCATTGCTGTCTCATTGTTTATACCACACATGTAATGTTCAAAAAACAATCAAAGCTAAAGCAATCTTGAACTGGAGATTTTTAACTTTGCATGTAATACTTCAGATTTTAATCTTTAAATAACCTAAGTTGTACGACTTTTAACCTTTTAATTCTCATGAAAAAAATCAGTTTTGAAAGATGAAAGTCAGACTTCAGGTGAAGATATGTGATGATGAAGTGTTCATTTTATCTCCTCATTATTCTCACGAAAAAAAGAATAATTTCATATTGGGCTTGTTTTTATATTTCATAAGTATTATTTCATCAGTATTAATTCAAAGTACATTTGTAGCATTTTTTATGCAAACATTTTCTTTAAATGACATGGCCCAATTTACACCTTTGATGATCGTTAATCTGTTGATCATTTGATCTCGGGTTAATTAGTGTCACCACTTCTGATTACAATTGTGCAACAATTAAAATATTTACTTTGCAAATTCCTTCAATGAGATAACTTGTATTCAGAAATGAATCAGCTTATTTCTGAAAGCAATTATTTTATTAAAATTTGATGAATGTTGTCAGAAATGAAAGACGAACATGTAAGTGAAAATGAACACCATATGATTATTTTCAACAATTTTGTTTCTGATGGTTCAAATTCTTCACCCAAATTTTTTCCTTCAGAAAACTAAAATCCATGAATTTAAAGAACCCACGAACATGTAACTTTTGCTCAATCCACGAAAAATGATACCCATGAATAAAAGTACTTTCAAAGTAAATGAATTGGGGGATTATTACCTTTGGTAAAGAATGTCTTCAGTAATCTCTCAGTAGCTACTGGAATGATTTCTGTTTTCAAATTTATTTTCCTGCCAACTGCTATTGGTGTTCTTCTGAATTCAAGAAGCCTTGAAAAAAAGAGAATAATATCATGTTTTAATGAACTTGTACAGGTGTTTATGAACAATGAGGGGGTAAAAGTTGCTTTGATTTTACATAGAATTAAGCTGAGGAACATACTCAGGAATTTTTTTAATTGAGTAATCTCCCTTTATCTATAACTGAAAAAGTATTGAGTTTTGTCCAGAATTTACGGTATATCACTTAATAAAACTAGAACGGTTATAGTGACACCATCAAAATTCAAACTTGATCTGTGTTTTGTGGTAATAAGCATTGTGTATAAGTTTCATAACATTTGGTTGAGGCAAACTCAAGTTAGAGAACGGAAATCAATTTTGGGACGTACGTACGTACAGACGGACAAGGGTAAAACTTAATGCCTCCTCCGCTACGGCGGGGGCATAAAAATAAATGGGGAATGTGTCCATCGGACACACATGATGCCCCCACTTGCATATAACGTTATAAAGCGCCATAACTCTAGAACTGTAAAAGTGACACTACCCAAATTTGAACTTGATCTGAATTTTGTGGTAATAAGCATTGTTTATAAGTTTCATTACATTTAGTTGACGTAAACTTAAATTAGAGAACAGAAACGAATATTCAGCAATTTTTCCATTTTTAAAGGGCATAACTCTAGAACAGTAGAAATGTCACCACCAAAATTCAATCTTTATCTATGTTTTGTGGTAATTAGCATTGTGCATAAGTTTCATAACATTTGGTTGAGGCAAACTAAAGTTAGAGAACAGAAACAAATATTTCAGCAATTTTGAGATTTATAAAGGGGCATAACTCTAGAACGGTAAAAGTGACACCCTCAAAATTCAAACTTGATCTGTATATTGTGGTAATTAGCATTGTGCATAAGTTTCATAAAATTTGGTTGAGGCAAACTAAAGTTAGAGAACAAAAACTAATATTTCAGCAATTTTTCCGTTTGTAAAAGGGCATAACTCTCGAACTGTAAAAGTGATGCCACCAAAATTCAAACTCGATCTGTGTTTTGTGGTAATAAGCATTGTGGATAAGTTTCGTAACATTTGGTTGAGGTTAGAGAATGGAAACCAATTTTGGGACGTACAGACGGACAAGGGTAAAACTTAATGCCCCCTCCGCTACAGCAGGGGCATAAAAATTCTGTGCTTAACAAAGAAAACAGAATTGTAATTAAAAATGCTTTTATCTTTGTCATTTGAACTCTGGTGGATAGTTGTCTCTGATTGACAATCATTCCACATAATCCTTATTTTTATATTGATCACCGATCCTTAAAAATTAGGTCAAGGTCAGATGAGCCCTGTCTGACAGACATGTACAGTAAACCTAGCAAGGATACTATATATCAAATATGCAGTTATTCTACTACTCATTATTAGCAAGAAATTCATGTGATAATTCTAAGCAGTTACTGAACAATAAAAATAAGGTCAAGGACAATGCACATATGAGAGGTATATATAAAGTATCAAGGTCTTCTACTTTTTGAAATTTAAAGTATTATACAAATTGATTTATGCTGGTTTCGCATTCTGCCGTAGGTGAGACAAAAAAGTGTAACATTCCGGCCATGGACATTAAAAGTTTTATAATTAGTTTTTAGCCAAAATTAGCATGATAAAAAATTAAAATGAACACAATATTATTCTGTTTGGTCTTATATACCTATATATATTAATAAAATATACCTGCCAAGATGAAATGTAGCAATTTCTCCATTATGTCTATCCCCACCAGAAATAATAGTTTCTTGCACAAAGTCTCTTTCAAACCTGTAAAATAAACACAAAGTATGGGATGTTCATCTACTGTTTACTTAGAATGTAAAATAAGTTATAGTTTACTATGTGGGAATATGTTTTGCTCATTGTTAAAGCCATATGGTTACCTATAGTTGTTAATTTCTATGTCATATGGTTTCTGGTGTAGAGTTGTCTCGTTGGCAATCATACCACATCTTCTTATTTTCACACAACAAAGATTAGATCATTTTTTGGTAGAAATCGTATGAACTTACATTTACTAACATAAACTTTGTGACAAACAAAAATAAACTGCTTTGCTGAGCGCAGAGTCCCAACCCTGAACAGTTGGGGCAAAAATGGACACAATATTCAAGCTTGATACAAGTCTGAATTTGGATTGTAATCAAATATATGTAACCAATCAGGAGCGCAGTTGGGACTCTTGTCTTGGCTCCCTAAAGGTTACGGGGTCATGATTTTATTTGTAAAATCATTAGAAAAACAATTAAACCATGAAAGTCACCAATCTCAGGAACTAGTTGTTGCAGTTCACGAAAATCCAACACATTCAAGTTATATAATTTAATTCCAAGCCAAAGTTCTAATATAAACTATACAAAGGACAATGTCAGCATAACACTATGACTCCTACTGTATCTACCGAATGTTCTTACTCAAAGTATTCTTACTTCTGATCGTACTCATTTTACAAAGTTTACCATAAGTATTTATACTAAATATCGAAAATAGACAATACTCAATTAACATGACAATACTCAAATTAAAATGACATTTCATAACTTTAAGCTATAAGTGACAGCATTCACATTAATTAATATAAAAGATAATTATAATTTATAATACTCATATAATCTTATTCTTTCATTTTCCTATACAGTAATTTTCACACCTTTAGTATGAATTAATGTCTTTCATATTAATTTCTGTTACTCAATAAATAAATCTGTCACAAACATTTGAAAATCATATGTCACTAATTAAGATTAACACATTATTTGTCTATACATGTAAATATTTAAATTTGTAAATAATATCTTTTCCAAAAGTCCAATTTCTAAATAAAATGATAAAATAAAAATTAAGTCCAAATAAGCCTGGTGACAAATGGCTCCTACTCAACAAAAAACACGTCCTCGTGTTTCCGAAGTTAATAAAATCGTCCTCTATTGTTCCTGCTGTAGTAACTAGAATTAAACGGTTGTTCCTGATTATAAACATTCTGTGGTTGATTCCATGTCTGTTGTTGTTGTTGTTGTTGTTGCAATTGTCTTATCTGCATCTCAAGCTGTACAATCTTTATTTCATATTTTTCTCTTTCTTCTTTCCTACCCATTGTTGACTGTTTCAATATATCTACTGTCTTTTGCATCTGATCGTAATCTAGCTGAAGATCGATGTATATTTGATGGTTTTTCACTATATCATTATACTCTGCATCAATTTTGCTTTTCTCCAAATGTTGTTGTTTCATTAAATTAGTATTCACTGTTATTATCCTTAAATTTTCTGCCCTTAATAATTCATTTTGCCAATATAGATCATTAATATTCAGGTTTTCTGGTGTTGATTTAAATTTTTCCAATTCTTGGCGAAAGTCTTCATTTTGTTTCACATATAGTTGTGCTCTTTCCCACATTGTGTGCAGCTGCTCTTTTAGATTACTGATTTCTTCATCTTTTTGACTGTTCTGATGTCTAAAATTTTCACGGTCAATATTATTCTCCTTTAATTTTTCTTTAATTCTTTTTAGCTCTACTTTTGTTGAATTATTTGTTTCTAAAACACTTACGAAGGCTGTATTTCTGATATTTGAAAATGGTAATTCAAACATTGGTTGTTTTCTGTCCATATGTTGAATGAATCGGGATCGGTCCTTTTCTGTTCTCCTCTTACCTTTCACTTTTTTATTCCTTATAGTTGTTTGTTGTTCTTTTGCTTTCACTAATGGTACACGAGCAAAACACATTCTAGCATAATGTCCCTTTTTTCCACATTTAAAACAAGTTTTGAAATTTGCAAAACAAATTCTGTAATGCAATACTCCACATTTACCACATACTGGTCTTTGACTAGGAAAGTTCCATAATCTCCATTGCGGTCGTAAATTTATATCCATGTTGTTAAAATTGTTGATGAAACTGGGGGCACTCACTTGCTGCTGTTAAAGGTATCTGGGATTGTTGTTGAGCATAGAAGTCAACATGCCCCGGGTCGTCCACCATATGTAACCAATCATAAGCGCAGTTGGGACTCTTGTCTTGGCTCCCTAAAGGTTACGGGGTCATGATTTTATTTGTAAAATCATTAGAAAAACAATTAAACCATGAAAGTCACCAATCTCAGGAACTAGTTGTTGCAGTTCACGAAAATCCAACACATTCAAGTTATATAATTTAATTCCAAGCCAAAGTTCTAATATAAACTATACAAAGGACAATGTCAGCATAACACTATGACTCCTACTGTATCTACCGAATGTTCTTACTCAAAGTATTCTTACTTCTGATCGTACTCATTTTACAAAGTTTACCATAAGTATTTATACTAAATATCGAAAATAGACAATACTCAATTAACATGACAATACTCAAATTAAAATGACATTTCATAACTTTAAGCTATAAGTGACAGCATTCACATTAATTAATATAAAAGATAATTATAATTTATAATACTCATATAATCTTATTCTTTCATTTTCCTATACAGTAATTTTCACACCTTTAGTATGAATTAATGTCTTTCATATTAATTTCTGTTACTCAATAAATAAATCTGTCACAAACATTTGAAAATCATATGTCACTAATTAAGATTAACACATTATTTGTCTATACATGTAAATATTTAAATTTGTAAATAATATCTTTTCCAAAAGTCCAATTTCTAAATAAAATGATAAAATAAAAATTAAGTCCAAATAAGCCTGGTGACAAATATTTGACACATTGTAGGTCTATGACACAGAATAAATGTAGTCAAAGAACTTGAAATTGGTTATATGATTTGAATTTATATTCAATTGAAGATTTCTAGCTTTTGTGAAATACACTGTACGTGCTGTTGCTTTGTAAATCTGTTTTCAGACTATATACAAAGAATTAGCAAAATAAATTGTGACCCCAAATAAGAAAAAATTGACAATTTCTTAAATCTTCAAAAAATTAAAAACTTGACACCCCCCAAAAATTTATTTCTTCTACTTGTGGTATTGAACCTTCTTGTACAATTTCAGAGCGATAAAAATACTTATACACAAGTTATTTTCCTGAAACTAGAAAAATGCTTGTTTTGGGCCTCTTTTTGGTCCCTAATTCCTAAACGGTTGGGACAATCACCCCCAAAAACAATCCCAACCTTCCTTTTGTGGTATTGAACCTTTTGGTAAAATTTCATAGATATCCATACACTTAAACTCAAGTTATTGTCCGGAAACCAAATGTCTTCGGACGACGACGACGTGATAGCAATATACAACCCCAAAATTTTTTTGCGGTCGTATAAAAAAAGGATTGAATATTCTGTCATTATAAATTATTACAGTTTTCAAATGTTCCAATTGAACATTCTTTATATCTTGAAGTTCATAAAATCCACATTTAGTAATAAAAAGACTGATTAATTGAGAACCATTGGACAATACTATAACACTCCAATACTCCATTGCTCATAGTTATGCCTTCAACAATTTATTTAGCACTCTTTCAGAAAAAAAAATTAGGCTATATACATTTCAGTGTTTATCATGAGGAAATCTATATTCCAATGGACTCTGTCCCTACCATGTGATTCATTAAAGACCACTGTGTAAATACTATCTTTGACTAAGATATAAACAGTTGAATGCAAACTTCAGAAAAAGCAGATCATCAGTTTATTTTAGTAGATTATGATGTAACATGTTATATCATAGTAATGTTTAACAGTCTAGATATATATATAGTATCATTAGTATCATAGAAGTAGCAATACTTTGATACTTTGGTTTGGGCACCCGCAATCATTTTTAAGTCAGGACCCTGTATTTCAGTTGTTGTTGTTGGTTGCTGTATTTCATATTTGTTTTTTGTTTTGTACATGAATCATGCTGTTGACTTGCTTGTTTCAACTGTTTTACATTAGTTATGTCAGGGCCTTTTATAGCTTCCTATGCAGTGTGGTTTTTGCTCATTGTTGAAGGCCATATGGTGACCTATAGTTGCTTGGTCTCTGGTGGATAGTTGTGTCATTAGCAATCATACCACATCTCCTCATCTTATATTTATTATGAGTTAAAGAAAAATTCTATTGATAATAACAGTGACTTTCTTGGTTGATGGACAAACTTCTTCTGACTGGTTTATCATATTACTGATATTTTAACATCAGAGGATAATTTATTAAATGTGGTTCGGTTCCAAAAAAGTGCTGTAATACATTTAATTCATATCATTTCCACATCACTTTATGCTGAATTTATTATTTACCACATTCATTTAAGAAACAATAAGAAAATTATCCTAATTAAGATATATGTATTCATTCTATTACTCAACCTTTCAGATGTAGATTATTTTAAGCACAAGAAATTCACAAAGGACATAAAATAACACCATCTAAAACAAAATATCTTAATTGGAAAATAGTGGTTTGAATCAAGCATATTGCACAAAAATAGATAAACAACATCTATTTGTCAAAGTGCTATTATGAAGTGAAAAATTTTGATGATTTATAACAAATGTTTTTCATATTTTGGCTACAGAAGGTCTGGAACAGACTCAAAATCCATTATCCATCAAATGAAATTAGAATCTACAAATTAAGGAAATGGAAAAGGTGGGATTGTTGTATTCATTAATGACCTGTAATCCCTACACACACTTGACAAAACAGTGATTTTATTTCAGTTTTCCATCTCAACATTACACTGAGAACCTTTTCAGAATTTACAGTGAGAACCTTTCAGAATTTACAGTGAGAACCTTTTCAGAATTTACAGTAAGGATCTTTTCAGAATTTACAGTGAGGACCTTTTCAGAATATACAGTGAGGACCTTTTCAGAATATACAGTGAGGACCTTTTCAGAATTTACAGTGAGGACCTTTTCAGAATATACAGTGAGAACCTTTTCAAAATTTACAGTGAGGACCTTTTCAGGATTTACAGTGAGGACCTTTTCAGAATTTACGGTGAGGACCTTTTCAGAATTTACAGTGAGGACCTTTTCAGAATATACAGTAAGGACCTTTTCAGAATATACAGTGAGGACCTTTTCAGAATTTACAGTGAGGACCTTTTCAGAATTTACAGTGAGGACCTTTTCAGAATATACAGTGAGGACCTTTTCAGAATATACAGTTGCTTTTTCAACATAACTACTACATATATATCCTCACTAATTCTACATGAAATCATTTGTATTAGGATGTGGATTACGACATCTTGTACAGCAGATGTTTGCCTTCAGCAAGAAAGGAGCCCATCTCTGCCATTTAACTGTTATTTGCCAGAGTGGCCACTAGGTTAGCCTTAGTGCACATGGCCTTGCAGTGATGTGGTATGATTACCAATGAGACAACTCTCCACCTGAGACCAAATGATTGTATGTCTGTAACTATAGGTTGCCGTCTGGCCTTCAACCATGATCAAAACACACAACTTATCGTCAGCTATAAAAGGACATGACATGAAAAAATGTTGAATAATTAAAACGAGAAAACAACCGGCCTGACAAATACTTACCACTTTGGTTTAAATATAACTCTCTGCCCACCTTCTAACTGCAATGTTAATTTGAGTTGTGTCCCTTTATAACCAACATCTGCAGATAAAATCTTCCCACTTTTCAAGGAATGCAAAACACAACCTAGAAAACATAAAAAAATGTCAAATTAAATCTTAAATGTTCTTCAAGATGATGATTGATGGCTGCTTAACGTCTAGCAGCAAACTAAACACATATTCATCTTCAAGATAAGAAGGTGCAAGCAATGGTATTTGTATGCACTAACAATGCAATCCAATGGATAATTCACAAGAATACCCATGTCTGACATCTACTAAAGTATTACAACGAAAACAATACTTTATATGTCCTTTTAATAATCCTTCTAAACATTTGATGAAAGAATGGAGTTCTACAGTTCTTTTATCTTTCAAGTTATAATTAGAACTTTACCTTTGACCTACAATTTAAATACATTTCATGTACTTCTTACAATGGTCAAACAACTGACAAAATCTGATGAAGACTAGTATCAAAGTAGCCAAAACAGAGTGTTGTGGATGAACACACACATAGACAGCTAGACTAACAGCAACTAAGTATCTTAATAAGCAACAACAATGATCTATATAATGAAATGATTGTTCTGGTGGATCCAGGGATACCAAGGTGGACAAGTTGTTCCCTCCTTATGGGTTAAATTTGATTTTTTTTAAAGTATATTTTTTTCTGATTGTAGACAGCTCCAATTTTAGGAATTGTTTTGGTGTTCCCAATTTGAAAATCCTGGATCCATCATATTGGTTTGCATTACAAAATAAAAGATGATTTATAATGTGACATGTCAATGAAAACATAAAAAATAAATATTATAACAGTAAACTGTATTACATTTATATTGAGAAAGGAATCTATAAACATAATCGTTTTTACACTTCATGTCTTTCTGAATGTCTTATAAGCTGAAATCAATATCAGCTAATTATTAGGTACACCAATTTGTGGATATGTTTTGATGTAAGCAACAACTGTTATAACCAGATTGCACTCTATACAACTTACTGATGGATTTACTTTGATGCAATAAAATATATCAATACATGACATATTACTGTCAAATGCAACTAGCCTCTTTCTTTCAGCTTTATTACTTACACATGTAATAGGACTAATACCACTGGTAATTCAAACGGATATTGAACTTATAAATAAATGATCAATAATACCAATGGGATGATAATATATTTTTCTATTAGATTGGTGAACATTTGTAACTCTAATAAAAACATATTGATCCAACATGTAACGATTGAATCATAAAACTATCTTGCATAAAATTGATGTCTTTTTTGTATATGGCGAGTGATTTGTGGGAATTAAAATAAAAACAATTATTTCTGATTTGAAGAAACTTAAATCAAGAGGAAACAATTTTGCACGAAAAGGTTCTACAATATATCTAATATAGATTGTATAGAAAAACCATTAACTTTGTATTTCTTGAAAAGTGACCCAACAATACATAAAAGAGTGATATGGGAAACTTGTTTGTTTATCTTTACAACTGTAATGTATCTGGTATCATATAGCAGTAAGCGGCAATATAAGCTTTGGATAAAGTTGACACTGACATCTATTAGAAGAAATGAATAGCTGTTCATTCAATCAAAATAACTTGATGTGATAAATAATTAACTGCACTGTGTGATATATATGCCAATCAATATTAAACAAAAGGTAAGTATGCCATTTTATTAAGTTCTCTTGGCATTTTTGCAAAGTCTCTCGTAACTTTAATTGTCTGAAAATCATCTGCAATATCTTCAGAAACATATGATTCACTGACAACTGCATCACTTTCTTATGTAAGTAAGTAAATAGTTTCGTTAAATTCTGATAAGAAATTCTTTGTGTGACTTTTTTTTACATTATGTACTTAGTGTAGGAATATTTGAAACTACAAAAAATTTGAAATCAGGAAAATTTAGTGAGAATTAATTTCTGAAAATAACCTGACTAATGAAGGTATAAAGCCATGCATTCAAACCTGAAACTATACTGATTTTCTATTTTTAAAATTATTTCAGTTATGACTACTCTTATTATTTCCCTGTTTTTATAATCTTTCTGATTTACAAAGGTTATAAATTCAATCTAAAAAAGTATAAATTTTTTTTTAGTTCTATATAAGTAGGATTTGTATCAAAAATGTGTTAAAGTATTACATTTTTTTTTAGTTCTATATAAGTAGGATTTGTATCAAAAATGTGTTTTTTTTTTTATATAAATGTATTTTTCTAATTCATGAGGAAACACTTTTGACCTCTGACTGCACATTAAACTTTCTTTCAAAGCATAAAAGAAACTACTGTATGCAAATGAGGGTCTAGAGTAAACTAAGTCTTCAGATATGTTACAGGTAAAGACTACAGAGGGTTAAATTTACAAAGTAAACTTCATTGAGTAGTCATAAATATATACAAGTTATACTAGAATGTACGTAACTTACTATAATTCTAATCTTGAAGATTTTTTTGTGAAATTGATCGCTTATTCTTATTATATAAAACTACTTGATAGCTACTATTGACCTGTTTTCTTTTTTTTATATATATATATATATATACAACAAGGGTTTAGCTACTATTGACCTGTTTTCTTTTCTTTATATATATATACAACAAGGGTTTGTATAGTTGGTCTTACTTTACAAATCCTTGTATATAATTATTGATCAAATGCTGCAATATCTATTTTATTTCAACATCAAATGAATATTCAGGACAAGTAGTTTAATAATCATTTGGTACAATTCTAAAGAGTTCTCAGATAAACTAAAATTTCATACTTTTAATATTTCATATTTGTACAGCTGTGTAATGTGTGAATTAAAAAATCATTAACAACATATAACTCACATAAGAGGTTGTAATTTACTTTGAAAGAACTTGAAAATACCCTGAAATTCAGAGACATACCCTATCTAAGCCCATTACTGTAAATGCATTTATGTGAAACTAGCATTTGTTTGTATATTGATATTATGTAGACATCTCCATGCATAGGTAAACCTTAGTAAACAACTTATATACATGTATTCCAAAAATTCATATCTATAGCAGATAAAAGTCCTCAAACACAGATAAATGGTTTTGAAATGGCACCATCTAACTAGTTTAACCCCGCCACATTTTGTATGTGCCTGTCCCAAGTCAGGAGCCTGTAATTAAGTGGTTGTCGTTTGTTGCTGTGTAACATACTTGTTTTTCGTTAATTATTTTGTACATAAATTATGCCGTTAGTTTTCTCGTTTGAATTGTTTAACATTTGTCATTTCGGGGCCTTTTATAGCTAACTATGTGGTATAGGTTTTGCTCAGGAATTAAGAAACAGTTGCCTAATCCTAATTTTTTTATATAATTTGTAGGTATTCAAACTCATACAAGTCGAGGACAAATGACAATGCCTTGGCAAAAAAAGAACTAGAGGCTCTCAAGAGCCTATGTCGCTCACCTGATTCTACTTTGGTTTTGGAAATCATGTTAAAATAGATTAAAATCATAACAGATACCCTAATAATGAGTGAGGCCAAATTTGGTTTAATATTGGCCCTGTAATTTAATAAAAAATCCTGGTGGCCATCTTGAACAGTAAATCAGCAATAAAGTAGCAACACTTCATCAACACCTCATAAGAAACATTTATGCCATGTTTGGTTTCATTCCATTCAGTGCACCTCTAGAAGAAGACATTTGTATGTATTTCCAATAGGGTCTTATGTTAAAGGAAGTCCCCCCGCTGGCGGCCATCATGGATGAAGGATCAGTTTCAAAGTAACAACACTTAGTCAGCACCTCATAAGTAACATTCATGCCATGTTTGGTTTCAATCCATTCAGTGGTTCTCTAAAAGAAGACATGTGTATGTAATGTCCATAGGGTCCTTTGTTAAACACTGTCCCCAACTGGTGGCCATCTTGGATGATGGATCGGCTTCAAAGTAACAACACTTGGTCAGCACTTCATAAGGAACATTCATGCCATGTTTGGTTTCATTCCATTCAGTGGTTCTCTAAAAGAAGACATTCGTATGTATTTCCCATAGGGTCCTATGTTAAACTAAGTCCCCCCGCTGGCGGCCATCTTGGATTATGGATCGGCTTCAAAGAAACAACACTTGGTCAGCACCTCAAAAGGAACATTCATGCCATGTTTGGTTTTATTCCATTCAGTGGTTCCTTAAAAGAAGACATTTGTATGTATTTCCCATAGGGTCCTATGTTAAACAAAGTCCCCCACTGGCGGCCATCTTGGATGATAGATCGGCTTCAAAGTAACAACACTTAGTCAGCACCTCATAAGGAACATTCATGCCATGTTTGGTTTCATTCCATTCAGTAGTTCTCTAAAAGAAGACATTTGTAAATATTCCCCATAGGGTCCTATGTTAAACTAAGTCCCCAACAGGCGGCCATCTTTGATTATGAATCGGCTTCAAAGTAACAACATTTGGTCAGCACCTCATAAGGAACATTCATGCCATGTTTGGTTTCAATCCATTTAGTGGTTCTCTAAAAGAAGACATTTGTAAGTATTGTCCATAGGGTCCTTTGTCAAACACTGTCCCCAGCTGGTGGCCATCTTGGATGATGGATCGGCTTCAAAGTAACAACACTTGGTCAGCACCTCATAAGGAACATTCATGCCATGTTTGGTTTCATTCCATTAAGTGGTTCTCTAAAAGAAGACATTCGTATGTATTTCCCGTAGGGTCCTATGTTAAACTAAGTCCCCCGCTGGCGGCCATCTTGGATTATGGATCGCCTTCAAAGTAACAACACTTGGTCAGCACCTCAAAAGGAACATTCATGCCATGTTTGGTTACATTCCATTCAGTGGTTCCTTAAAAGAAGACATTTGTATGTATTTCCCTTAGGGTCCTATGTTGAACTAAGTCCCCCGCTGGCGGTAATCTTGGATGATGGATCCGCTTCAAAGTAACAACACTTGGTCAGCACCTCATAAGGAACATTCATGCCATGTTTGGTTTCATTCCATTCAGTGGTTCTCTAAAAGAAGACATTTGTATGTATTTCCCATAGGGTCCTATGTTAAACTAAGTCCCCCGCTGGCGGCCATCTT